ACACAGAGGGAGACACACACAGAGGGAGACCCAGGGACAAGATGGCCATCCACCCGCGAGGGAGAGCCCTCATGGGGAGCCAGCCCTGCCGACCCCTTGATCTCAGACTTCCAGCCCCCAGATCTGCAAGAGAAAGGCTTTCATTGTCTCAGCTTCACAGTGTGGATGATGGCCGCCCAAGCTGACTAATCCACCAACTCAGGCTGAAAAGAAAGTGGGGCTTCTGATATGGGTTTGGGGTGTCAGTGGAGCCCCAGGCAGCAGCACCACCAGCCTTAGGGGTCAGGACTGGCTCCCACGTCCCCGGGGCCCCTCCCTGCACGGCAGCCGGTGTGCTCCCTGCCCCCAGGCCGCGCTGCCGGCTGTGCTCCCTCCTCCATCACAGGCTGAGTCCCTTCCAGGCCTGAAGCAGACGTGACTCTTCCCACAGCACCGATTTACCAGAAAATCCCGACTTCCCCCATAACTGGGAATCTCTCCCCGTGAGAGACTTCCGGAACTTTTGTCTAAAGCTCTCTAAGGGCACAGAAAGTTCTAGAAACTTCCCCAATTTGGCAGTTTCCAGGCTGGCGGGCAAAAAGCAGCATGTGGGATGTTGGGGACAGCTTTGCCAGTGTCTGGTATTGAACAGGGCACATTAGCACTTTAACTTCATGTCCGCTAAAACCAAGAAAACTTTAAACTGACACGTCACCCTACTGCGTTGGGTGCTGAAATAAAGAGCCTGTTTCCAAAAACAAAAATAGAACGCATATAAAACTTTTCACTACCAAGCCAGGAAGTCACATTTGAAAGTTATACGGGTGGTTTTCATGCCCCGCCCCCACCAAAATCCTGTGGCTTTAGGTGCAAGAGAATGCTGGCCCCCAGATGACCTCTCACACAGGTGCCCTCAGCCTGCTTCCCACGGTCGGGGGCCAGAGGGGGGCTCGGGTTCTTTAGGGACTGTGTGTGCACATGTGTGAGCGTGTGCATGTGTGCACATTGCCCAGACTGTTGACTCTCCCTGCACCTTATCGGCCGAGCTATAAGTTACCGAGGCCCGTTATCGCCACGGCCTGCCTTTTTCCCACCACGCTTCCAAACGCTGCAAGGACTTTGCAGTGACCCAGAGGAGTCGGCCGTTGCTTCCTCAAGACATCCGTCCTGCCCCCTACTCTGCCCCCACCTCCCTTGTCCGAGTGCGCAGGGCTGTGGAGGGGTGTGGGTGGGGGTGTGGTACGATACACCCCCCAGGCGATCACCATCACGGGGCGCGGGGCACGGGGGTGGAACGCCGTGGGCGAGGGGCTGCCGCAGGCAGAGGCTGGTCCAGGGAAGGTTCTGGTGTCTTTATATTCCTGGGCGTGAGGAGGAAACATTTCACTCTTCCGGGGTCTTTGTGGGCTTTCTTCCCTCTTAACCTCCTCTCCTATCTCACCTCGCCTGGGTCTGACCATGAGAAGGAAGTGGCCTGCCACCCAGTGCCCTCTGTCCCCTTGGGCCCAACTCCCGCATCCACACGTGCCGCCCCGTCTGTCACCGCACCCAGGACTCAGCAGCTCCCACTGACACCTGAAACTCGAGAGGGTGCTGTTGGTGCACTGGACACCTATGGAGGAGGGACAGCACGGGGTGTGGCCCCAACATCCTTCTGGGCATCTTGGTTTCCCAGACCCTGCGGGCGGGCGCGCTTCTGCAACATGGCTCTGGGTCTGGGGTCGCGCCCTCGGAGCTGCGCCCCAGCGTCTTCTGCCCCTCCAGTCCCTTGCGCCATTGGAATTCTGCTGGACGTTTGGGAGTTTCCAGGAGGACAGTGTGGCAGAGATCATCTCCTTTTGCACCCACCTCTGGGTCCTGGGCAGGGCGCTGAGCCATGAGGGGCCAGAAGGATGTATGTCCCAGCAACCCATGCTGAGGCAGGGACATCCCTGCAGGAGACCTGGCCTCTCTCCTCCCCAACAGGCCTGGCACCCAGACAGTGGAGCCACACAATCGCACATTCTGGACGCAGACACCAAGGAAGGGGGACGTGAATCGTGGGCCCCAGATTCTTTCTGTGTAACCCGATTGGGGAGCGGGGTTGCCGTCACCAGCCCTGTCTCCATTCAGTCCCTTCACTGGACCAGAATCCAGGGAAACCGAAAAATGGCAGGTGACCCACCGAATCAGGCTCCTTGTCACCCGGCCTCTGGGCCCCTAGTCGGACGCATTTGCCAGGAGGAAGGCGGTTGGACCTCCCTGGCCACCGGAGGACTTAGAGTCTAGGAGCCCCTGGTGGATGCGCCATGGCTCCCTGGGGAGTGTCCCTTCACCCACGCTGCTCTCCATGGGAGAGAAGGCCGGCGGCCCACAGTGACAGCCCCCTGCGTGTGAGCCCCACTGGGCTCATCTGTGTTTTAGAGCCACAGGCGGGAACAATATGGGGTGTTGTCTCTGTGTCCAGACCCCTCTGTCTACTTTCTCTCGGTTGCATCTTTGACACTTTTCCTGAACCTCATTCCTGAGGGGACCTCTGACTCCAGTCTGCTGAGCCCGTCTGATCCGAAGGTCTGCTCACTCCGCGGGTCATTCAACACCTGTTGGTACCTTGTCGTCCGTTCCAAAATGGGGGTGAAGATAAGGATGCAGTTGTCACTTGAGATGGCATTGGTTTTGGAAACCTGAAGTGAGGCTTCTGGATTCTCTCACACCAGCTCCCTCTGCCCGCTTCCTCCTGATGCCAAGCCGGAGGCTCCTGCTGAGGGCTGAGGTGGTTGGATGGCTTAGTGGGAAGTCAGGGCGTCGCCCCAGGTGTGGTACGGAGCGTGACTGCCTGCAGTCCTCTAACAGATTAAGGGCCTAACCTGGAAGACTCGTCCTAAGCACTTTTACCATGGGCTAGAGTTTGCCCCCGCCGGTGGCAGCTGGGCCATAGGGTCATGGTTCTGTGGTGCAGGGAAGATACAGACCCTGGTAACGTGTTGTCGAGGAAGAGAAAACCCAGTGGGGAGTGCTTTAACCCATAAGGACATTTGGGTTTACTCAGCACAAAGTCTGGTGGTGATGGGTCAAATCAGCAGCTCAGGGACGCCAAGGGTTCGCTGGCTTTTCCTCCTTATCACAGAATGGCTGCCTGAAGCACCACATCACACCTTCATACCACACAACATCCAAAGGCAGGGTGCAGGTGCAATCTGGGTGACCAAAAGGAGCTCTCCTTCTATGAAGGAGGAAAATTCTTCTTTAGGAGTCCCCAAGTAGATAACCCCTCCTGTGTCATGAGCCAGGATGGAGTCACAGGGCCACCTCTCACTCAAAGAGAGAATGGGAAAATGAGCGCTTTCTCCGGTCTCTTTATAGAGCAGAAGTCAGGTAAGACATAATGGAAGGAGGGACGGGATGGCCAGAACAGGAGGGCAGGTCTGCCACAAGAGGTCACGGGGAAAAGCGACCTCTGGGGGGCATGGGGGAAAAGGGACAGGGAATGGAACCAGCTGGACTCCCAAGGACGCTGGAGCCCCACTCCACAGACAGAATGCAAGGGGGACCCATGGGCAGCCCCAGGGCACTGGGCCCTCCAGGGAGAAGGTCAGGAAGGGAGTGGGCCAGGACAGACCAGGAGGTTTATTCCCTGGGCTGTTACCTCCAGAGGCTGCGACCAGAGGGCCTGCCTCTCACAGGAGACTGACAAAGTTGGTGGCTTTTCACCTCAGCCAAGCAGGCAGAGGCTGTGGGGGAGATCAGATGGGAAGGGACACAAAAGAGAAGCGAAAACCCTGCAGATTCTCCAATGAGGAAAAGACATGGAGGTCCCCAGAGCACACAGAACACGACACACATGGCCGGGCACACATGGGCACTGTGGCAGGCATGCTGACGTCCTGCCTCCGCCCAGGGCCCCTGGCCCCTGGGACCGTGTGTGTGCTTGTCCCGGCGGCAGGGCGCTGGGGAACAATGGATCCGACTGGCCAGTGTGGAACACGCTGTTCCCACAAAGCTCAATGCCCCTTCCTCTTGGGAACCAGCACCTGTGGAGGCCAGAAGTGCTCTGCCGCACCTGGGACCCCGTGGACAGTTGTCCAGGTTGTGCCCATAGCAAGGACACCTGAGAGGAGGGGCCACTGTGGGGAGCAATGGGCTTGTTTCGCTGAGCTCCTGGGCAGGATGACAGCCCAGAGCCAGTGGCCTCTCCTCGCCCTCCCTGCAGCCCCGTCGGGGCTGGGACGTCTAAGGCTGCCGAGGCTGCCAGGTCTGCGCTGCTGGCCCGCCTGGCTGGTCTGTTCAACGCCTGGGTGTACTTGGCAGGTCCAGTCGGCCTCCTGCCCTTCCATGTTGCCTGTGTCGGTAGTAAGGGGACATGAGCCCTTCGTATCCTTCTCTTTGGGGCGGGGGGTGGTTCTTTAAGGTATCAACTCATGTCATGCTCAACAACCTTTTATTACTAACACTATCAGACTCCGCTGTGGGTTTTATCTCCCAGTTTCCACCTGGGGGGATGGAGAGAAATTGAAAGGTAGTTTTCTCACATGGCAGCTGACCATCCACAGTGAATTTTCCAAGAACGTTAACAGAGTTTGGCGTCTATTATCCTGACTTGAAAGGGGTGTGCCTTGGAGTTGTTTCTTAGACTTTGCAGTGAATGGCCTTGTGCATGGACCCCAGCTGCCAGCAGCTACGGAGTCAACTTCCACGACCCTGTTGCCTCTTCTTCCTCTTATCTACCCCTCATACCTCACCTGAGGTAGTGCGAATTAATGTATAAACCAAAGGGAAAAACAGGACACTTCTCTTTGAAAGAAAGGAAAATCGTTTATATTTTCTCAAAGAACTAAAAGCGAAACTAGCATTCATCTGTTTTCATTGTTAGGCCAATGCTGAGCACGAAAAATCAGCAGTCAATCCATGTGGGGAGCTAAGGGCCTGCCGCAGACGGGGGAGCCCCGAGACGTGCGTGCGGTGGCAGGGGCGACGGGGCTGAGCTGTGGGCGCCGGGAAAGGCCGTTCTAAGTCCAGACGTGTGACTTCCACCGGGACAGCGGCTAAAACACACACTCCTCTGAAAGGGGAAAGGCGGGGGCGGAGAAGAGATGTGTTAGTGCGAATAAGGATGTTCTTTCACTCTTAAATAATTCCAGAAGATTTGACTTGAAAGTTGCAATGGGGAGAGTCTTTAGAAAACACAGACTGTCTTCATATTTTGTCTTTCCTTTCAGTCCCACCAAGGTAAGCATTGCAGGGATGATTCCTCACTAAGTTTGGTTAGAGATGTGAAGAAGAGGCAGGGAAAAGACAGGGTTCCTCCCCAAGCCGTCTCTCAGCCCTGTCTTTCCACCTCGAGACCTGAACTCTGCCTGGGGGACACTCAACCACTTCTCCACATGCACCTCATGGCTACTGTTCTGGATAAAAACACAGCTGGCCCTGTGGAGTAGGGTCCCGTGGTCCCATGTGTTTTTTTCTCACTGATTCTAGACCGTCAGCCCCTACAGCGTTGTCATGGACATACCTTCTGGAACGTTGTCGTTGATCTTCAAAGGAAAGAAGCACCATGGGTAATTGGGGATGGTGCTGTCAAAACAGCAGCCCCTCTCTGCACACTGGGAAGGCGTGACACCAGGAAAACCACAATTTGTTCTTTGTTTCGGGTCCATGGTACATGTCTCTGAAGGTGCATGGGGCAAGAGGCAAAGGTAAGTCATAGGCTGATGCTGACCCAGGACTCGGGGTCCAAAATGGACACCTTGTCCTCATTTCATGACCTGAAAACACGTAACCTCAGGGAAAACCCAAGATGCCCAGGAATTATAAACCTTGTAACTACCTGGACAATTTATTCATTCACTCTTTAATTTCAACAAACAATTATTAAACTTATTTACTCAATCAATATATATCTACTGAGCACTGTGTGTGTACACGCGCGTGCTAGAAACAGGATGTCACACAACAAAAACAGCACAGGTCCCTCTGAAATCAAGCTCATGCCAAGCTCCCTGGCAGGTGGTGGGGGACTGAGAAATCAAAAATAGAGACATATTTGTTAAGAATCCAAAAGTCAAGTAGAGGAGAAAGCCAAGTATGTGTACCAAACAGCAGAGTGAGACCATCCCAGTGTGTCCAGGGCAAGCACAGAAGGGACAGTTGACAATAAGCCTGCGCAAAGCAAGGAGCTCTTCCTGTAGGAGGGGGCTGGCCACATGAGGATGAGGCAATGGGTGTTCCAAGCAAGAGGAGCAGAGTACTCATTGGCAGTGAAGGGAGAGAGCAAGGCGGGTTCAGGGGGTGTGAGTCCATCTGCAGGTACGGTGCAGAGGGTGGGGTGGGATTGATCTGGGCGGGGCCAAGCTGAGGCCCAGGGTGGACGGTCTCAGCCCGAGAGCAGCAGTTTTCCCAGGAGAGCAATGAAATGACCCAAAGCCGAGTTTAGCGGTCAGGGCAGATGGGCCAGCTGACAGCTCCCACGCGGTCCGGATGCAAGATCTGCAGGGTCTGCAGCCAGGGCCAAGGGCTGGGGCTCTCAACAGGCAAACTCGGCAGGCCAAGGCAGGTCATAGAAGAGGAGTCCGGAACCCCTTCCCTGTCCCTGTCTTGGAATTGGGGACATAGGAGGGTGAGAAGTTTCTTTCTGTCACATGGGCTCGGAGGTATTCACGGCTGTGTGCCATGAGTGAGAAGACAAGGGGGACAAGGAGCAAGGCCTCGGGGGCATCGATAGTAAAGGGACGGTGGGGGCAGGGGGGATCCTGAACGGAAGCGGGAGGAGAGAGAGAGACGTGGACTGAGATTCGGGGCAGAAGTGGTCGCAGCTGGCCTTGACCTGGGGCATCGGACTCTGCGAAAGACAGCCCCTCCAGAGACAGGGGGCTGTGGGACACTGCCTGGACTGAGAGGGCCAGATGCCCACACTTATTCCTTTGAGAAATCCTGCAAAGCATTCTTGCAATAAGAAGTAATGTTTATTTAGCACTTTGTAGCTTGCAAAGCACTTTTTGTGAACACTGGCACACCAAGTGTTCTCGGCAACTCTCTAAGGCGGACTATTGATCAGACACTGAAGAGAAAGGCGATGAAATACCAACAAGTTCAAAGGAAGCCCTCTCTCACGGGGCCACTCCTGTGGACTAATATTGATCATGTACCAATGGGACAGGTGGTTTGGGGTCTGGAGAACATGGGACCCAGGAGAGCCCACGCACATGCCAGAGAGGTTCTTGGGCTCCCACCCATGGAGCAGGCACTTGGACACATGTGCAGGCTTTGAGCAGGTCCACCCCCTGTGGTAGCGTTTGGCTGGGACCCTCAGAAGCGCTGTTCCTGCAGCCTACATCAAAGCTTGCTCTTTGAAACGCAATATTCAAGAACAGCATAATATTCCAGCATCTGTACTGGAAGACAGCACAGACCAAGGGATCCACTTTCTCACAGCAGTTTGCAAAGGGCTCCCTTTCCCCTGAGGCTCTCACCGCCTGCTTTTGCCTTCTAAAATCTTTCAAGGGCCTAGAGCAGCGCTTGGCTCAAAGGTGACACGCTGTGAAACAAAGGCCCCATCGAGCTGCCTCTCTGTGGCCACCGAAAAGCGGGAAGGGGCTGTCTTACCGGCCTGGCCCTGGGCCTGGGTGCTGAGGGCCAGCGAGAAGACCACGAGCAGGACACAGATCACCTTGGGCTCCATGGCAGCCTCCACCTTCTCCTCTCTGTTCCCCAGGAGACTCCAAGTCAGGGGTGAGAGCCTGTCGGAGCCCTCAATTTTAAGCGCGGGCTCTGTTTGCCGAAAGAGCATTGCATTTGCCTAAGGAGGGTCTCACAGTCTTTCATGCCAAGTAATCTCCACTGATTACAAGGTGTTTTCTAAACACGGGCAAGCCACACGGACAAGGTGGCTGATAGAGGAAAATCCCTGTTGCGTAGTCATCTTGGGGAGGGATTTGAGAGTCAGCACATCGCGCCCTTATCCGTGGGAGTCTCCTTGGTCGTGACCCAGTCCGGGTCCCCACTGTATCGGCTAATGTCAACATTACACCCACTGGAAAGTGATTCATAGCAGGAGATGGCCCACAAAAGGCACAGGTGTGTCAACAGTGGCTCACGGGGTCCCTGCTGCACAATTCAGGGGGAAGGAGAAGGAGCAGATGAGGCCAGCCTGCCGTTCCATGTGGTTGTGCAGCCATTTTCAACTAGTTTGAGACTCCAGGGCCAGGGAGGAGGTATCTGAGCCTGGCAAGGCGAGCAGGAGGATGACAGGCCTGCCCTCCACCCACTGCCTCTGCCCAGGACTTGAACTGCAAACTGCATCTTTCCTCCCTTTGTGTTGTCTTGTTAGACGTTTCCCTGGCAAATTCGTGTGAGAGCAGAGCGAGGAAACACACATGCGCGGACGGGGCTCACGGGCCCACTGGCACTGGCGTCCTGTGCACAGGAGCGAGTGAGCATTTTTACTTATTTATCTAAACTCCCTTCTTTGCTTTCCTTTTCTTTTCCTTTCAAAAATGAGGCTGTGTGCACAAGAGCAGATATGGAAACTGATAAAATGGGGGTGCTCTCCCCTCTAGCGGGATCCCTCTCCCTGCACCTGGGGGGTCTGTTGCTCGCGTCCTCCCAGGGAGGCCCCCCGGGACACAGCAATACAAGGGCCACCTCCGCCCCAGCTGCTCTGGGCCCCTGCCCAGCTCTGCCTGTCCCTCGCTCGTGGCTCTTACCGTCTTCGGATGTGCAGAGAGATTTACTCACACACTGCAAGTATGTTTATCACTCACTGCCCCTCCCGCAACAGAGTGGAAGGGCCGCTGCGGGAGCTTCGCCTGCTCTGTGCATTCAGGTGGCCTCAGCTCCTCCGATGAGGCCTTGTTCAGTACTTAGCCATGGGAGAATGGACGACTAAAGGAATGTTTTTCTTCAGTGAGAGATTGGGCTCCGGGGAAAGTGACTCTCACCTGGGAGAAGAGCTTACTTTTAGGCAAGCTGCAGCCCCTCCGGGTCAGAATAGGGCCGCCAGACTCTTCCTCACTCCCGGTGCCGCCTGGCCCTGCCCGGCCCCGCCCGCCAGGGCTGCGGCTCCTGAGCTGGACACAACTCAACAACGCAACACAACGCGATGTGCGGGACCGGGGGAAGGACCAGGGTCCAGAGAGTGCTCTGTGGGCCTGGGTACTGTTTGCCAGAGACAGTGGGGCCACCAGACCTGGGTGAGGCTCATGATGACGCAGAACCACCATGCTCATTTCTCACACAGACGAAGACAATCCTTGCAGCATGATTCGCCACAGTATTTTTTAAAGAAAATAAATAAAATAATAACAGAGAAAAAAAAGTAAAGAAGAGAACGAAAAATGGAAGGAAGGAAGGAAGGAAGGAAGGAGAGAAAACAATATAAATATTCATAAATGTTCATTATCAGAAGAGAAAAAGAATCTATATATGTATATCCTATACCATATATGTATAGGATACCTTGCAGAAGATGAAAATGAATAAATAAATTAAAATAAATAAACAAGCCCTGGCTGGTGTGGCTCAGTGGATTGAGCACCAGCCTGTGAACCGAAGGGTCACGGGTTCAATCCCCAGTCAAGCCCAAATCAAGTCCCCAGTAGGCAATGTATGGAGAGGCAACCATGCATTGATGTTTCTCTCCCTCTCCTTCTCCCTCCCTCCCCCCTCTAAAAATAAATAAATAAAATCTTTTTAAAAATAAAATAAATAAATAATAAAAAGGATAATTATTGAAAACAAAGTTAAATTTAAAAGATAAGTTAGGAATGGTTCCTAAAGTATGATATCATTTATGATACAGATTTCTGAAATATGTCAAACAATACAGCATGTTCCTAGAAGGGCATCCAGATGAAATACAATGAAAAGAACACAGAAGGAAAGGGGACCTTCTGACCTCTGCCTCACGGGCCCGCGTGGGAAGGGGAGGAAGGGAATGGGGTCAGGGAGGGCACAACGGGCCTCCAACTTATGCGTAATGTTTTCTTTTGTTGAGAAAATATAAAGGGAATATGGTACAAAGTTTGGCATCTATTAAGTTAAGGAGGGAGACATGGATTCATGGATGTTTGTTACATCATTCTCTGTATGTGTGAAGAATGATCTACTTTTAAAGCCCAATTCTTGCCTCCTTGGGGAACAGTTGAGAAAGGACCTCCAAGGGTCCAACTCTGCCTTCCTGTGTGGGCGGTGTGGAGGACCTACAATGCTAACACAAGATCCCGTGACAACCGTACATGTCCTATTTTAAAACATGACATGTTAGGGAAGAGGATACACTGAGTTGAGTGCTGGCCCAACGTAATGAACTGGTCACCTGTACAAGTATTTTAATGACCAAGTATTTTAATGTCCAGTTCCTGCTGGACACCCCCACTCAACGCATGGAAGCCTCCCTCCTCAAAGGAGGCTGGCAGAACCCCACCCCTGGGATCTGGATGAACACACTCCTTCCCAGACCTCATGGAGTCAGATATACATTCTAGAAAGTTCCCAGGTGCTTCATATGCATGGTAGGTGTGGGGGCCGGTGCTGCAGCCAAAGAGGGGTCCCAAGCTCAGGGAGGCTTCAGTGCAGGACTGTGTCTGTTTTGTGCACACTTCTCAGTCACCCAGGAATGCCTAGAGGGTGCTCCCACCTCTCAGATGAGGGGCTACCAGCATCCATCACAAGTCCTGGGGCTCCTCCAGCCTTCGTAGGCCAGAGGTGACGTGGGGCTCAGTACCTAAACAAGAGTGGAAGCCAGGTCCCTTGGAGGAAGGGCTTTACAGCAAGGCCACAGTGCATGTAATGAGCCTTCCTCAAAATGAGCTGGGCCATTTACTAGAGCTGTGAGTTAAATTGCATCCCCTCCCTAAAAGGTGTTGACGTTCTAACCCCCAGTACCTGGGAATGTGACCTTATTTGGATATAGGGTCTTTGCAGATGATCAAGTTGAGATGAGGTGATGGGGTTGGGTCCTAATCTGACTAGTGTGCTTATAAAAAGGGGACATTGGACGCAGACACACACAGAGGGGAGGGGAGGTAAAGGCACAAAGAGAGTGCCACCTCTAAGCCAAGGAACGTCGGAGGCTACAGAAGCTAGGCGAGGGACACCGGACAGAAGGACGCGATGCTGGCGACGCCTTGATCTCCAACTCCTACCTCCCAGGACAGTGAGACAGTAAGTTTCTGTTGTAAATTCAGTTTGTGGTACTTTTCCACAGACCTAGGAAACTAACACAACAGGGTGGCTGTGTGCTGGTGAAAGGAAACTCTCTGGACTTTCTGAAGGTCATTAACTATTCGCTCTGAAGGCCATGAAACATTAGCTCTGAAATGACACTCATCTTCAGAGACCCAGACCCTACATGGCTCACCAATCAGAGAAACCATGAATTTCAGGATCTGTGAGACAGAATCTTGGCCCAAGTCTGTCTCGTACAGATGCAGTGACGTCCCGCCCATCCTGTGGGGACACCCCGGCCCAGAGGAGATACACGTAGGAGCTACATCACTTCTATGATCTTTGGAGTGAAGGCTATTACAGTGGAAGTCCCTTTCACTAAGTGAACAAAAACCAGCATCACAGTCCAAGAGGGAACTGCAGAAATCAGTGCCACCATCAAGGGCGGGAGAGTGTAGCACTGGTCCTTCCACACACCCGCTGACCGCACCTGTTTGGCCACGTGAGTTGAGGAAAACGACTTTAGAGCAGAGTCAGCACACTTCCGCGGTAAATGTCCAGATAGTCAATATCTAATCTTTATTCTCTTTTTTATGGCCTTAAAAAATGTAGAAATCATTCTTAGTTTGCAGGTTATACTAAAACAGGCCACAGGACTTGTCATTTGTCAAGCCCTGTGTATAAAGTATCACACGTTTAATCAAGTGGTGATGACAATAGCAGCTGGGGAGCTGGGTGTGGTGTCATTCCCGGAGCAAATTCCCTGTCACTTGATATTGTCACTATTGACCTAGAAAATGTTTGCTTCCCCATTCCTTTCAGGAAAGATGATCAGATGTATTTTGCCTTCACATGGCAGGGGAAACAATATACCCCTAAGGCGCGGACTTGGGTTATGTCAAGTCTGAGTACGCAGAAGAGACATTGAACACTTTGCTAAACGTCTTTCTGACCCATTATGCTGCAGACATGATGTCATATTAACTGGATTTGGAAAACAGAAGATCAGGTGTCTTGGTGAAGCACCCATATGTCAGAGGTTGGAGCTGCAAAAGTCCAGGGACCTGGCCTATTTATTAGTGGACAAAGCTTCTCCAAAGGGAAAGACAAATTTCTCTACCTGTACCACTCTCCCTGGTAAATACTCAGGGCTTCATTGGATTTTGGAAGGAATAGATACTACATCTGAATACACTGTTCTGGTTCATTTACCGGGCTTCCAATAAAGTAGGAAATTTAGAGTGGAGTCAGAATTATTAAATGGCTCTGCAGAAATTGGTTCAGGTTGTCATGCAAAACGCACTGCCACGTGGGCCCAGAAGTTTCTAGAGCGTGTGAAGTATTTGTGGCAGGTATCAACATTGTGTGGCATCTTTGGAAAGTCTGATGAGAAAAACATAACACAGGTTCTGTATTAGTTCTCTGTCACCATGAGACAAATGACCCCAAAACTTAACAATTTAAAACAAGAAACATTTATTATCTCGCCGTTACTGTGAGTCAGGTCTTTGGTAA